CGCCTCTCTCACGTTGGCCTAGTTAACAGCCCTGAGGGAGCAATGTTGACTGTTGATGAATAAGCCCCTCGTGTGGAGACGTAAAACCACTTGGGTAGGGGCGCATTTTTTGCAAGTTGGATGGCATTCTAAGCACCTCTCGTTGAAGCTGCGATAAACCTCTCGCACTGCCTAGATCGAGGCCGACGCGCGAGAGAAGGTTCCAGTCAGGTAAGGCTTTGCGGAACCCGCAGCCGGCCGTGGGGAACCTTTGGCAAATCACGAGGGAGTTTGAAAGAACGACACGAAGGGAACTCGCTCCTGCCAGTGGCTTACCAAGCTAGAGTTCCTTCGTGGTACACCATATTCATGCGATACCGCATTGACCATGCACTCAGATTATTTTTACAGGTACAAGCAGTAGGAAGGCAAAGATGTTCCTGACAGATAGGTGACAAGCACACTTCGCGGCCAAGAGTTTGTTGCACACCGCGTGGCAGGGGCTTTGCTATCCATCACTGTAGAGCCTTTTCAGCAAATATGCCGCTGCGCCGCTGTGCCATGCTGTGCAGGGGTCCGATGTGCATTTCAGAGAGCAAGTTTTGCTTCCATGCTTCACAACATGCAGATCTTCGATACCAATATGTGTAGGTTTGGAATCGGTGTTGTGATGTGAGACTGCCTCAGGGGAAAACAGAACACCTTTATCGATCCACTTGCCGACGCAATGGCTGAAAACATGGTGCTCTGGTCATCTTGCAATTGCAGTTGCAAAAAGTCCATTGCGCGAAAGTTTCGTGACAAGTCTCAGCTGAAATGGCGATTTTGGTGGATGGTCGTGTGCTCAGAACGGGTCGAATTCATTCCAAACGTGTGGTGTGGCGCAGTACTTTGTGCGGGTTTTGAGATGTGGAAGTGCAATTTTCGTTGCAGGCGCAGGGAATCGTGAGGTTGCGAGGTGTGACGGAGATCACATTTCGTGGCAGGCGCAGTACTTTGCGCGCGTTAGACGTGTGGACGCGGAAAGATGGGTGGCAGGCGCAGGGAATCGTGAGGTTGTGAGTTGTGGTAGAGGTGAACATGCATCGCTCCGATGGGTGTTTCCGCTTGACTACTGCGCAGCAAACTGCAGATCTCACAAAACGCTGCGCCGGCGCAGTGAAATCATCCTCCACACTTCAACATCTTACATTTCCACACGATTCCTCGCTATTTCACACGAATCTGACACGTCGCGTTTTCATCCGAAACCCTCTCCAAAAGCTTCCCCCAATGGCAGCGCCTTAGCGCTCTACTGCGGACGGTTGCGGACGGTTGCGAACTTAGAAACAATGGGTCGCGAACAAGGCTCTACCCCCAGACCCCCAGAGTTAAACGAGAACCCTTCGCTACGCATTCGGGAAAAACTAGGTCATGCCCTTGGCAAGCCACTGAAAAGCAGAAACGAAAATGGTCTGGTTTTGTTGCTTGGTGGTTCATGTGTTGCTGATATGTTGCTGATGTTGTCAGCGTGAACTGCACTTAGGCGCCTTTTTACTGCAAAGCAACAAGGCAGTTTACCAAGTGGACACATCGCAAGACTTCGGTTAGAACATGTTTTTGATTTTTATTTGATTGATTCATGTTTTTTTGTTGCTTGCTTGCTTTGCCTTGCTTCGCCTTGCTTCGCCTTGCTTCGCCTTGCTTTGCCTTGCCTTGCCTTGCCTTGCCTTGCCTGCTTGCTTGCTTGCTTGCTTGCTTTATGTGCCAAAAGCAGGTAGTTGGAGCACGTGCCATAGATGGCCGTGGTGTTTTCTTCATTTTTTCGTCGTTTTTGTTTCGCGCGCGCGCATGTGCTTCACCATGTCATCATAGACAAACACACACACACACACAGATGGGGTGGGGTGGGGTGGGTGGGGGGTAATGACGTTCTGGTACTGACGGAATGATGTTGTGGGTTATGGATGGTTTCGTTATGATTGTTGGTTTCTGGACGGTGTCAGTGAGGTTTCACAAGTTTGTTTTGTGGATTGATCCTCGATAAATATCGCAGTGCAGTCTTTTTCGGTTCATGACGTAGATACGCAACTCTATGAGGGAGTTGTGTTGAGCAGTTTGGTTTCCCTTTGTGTGGTGTAGTGTTGCTGTTTAGGCTTTCAAATACCATTGATTTTCGTTTCCGGATCCCCTGGAGATGTGGCGTCAGCAGATGTTCGGCAAAGCGCTGAATGAATGTTTGGATGACTTGGGCGACTCCTGAAGACCGGAGAATTAGCCGATGTGTCGTTAGTTTCTGGGGTTGTGAAGTGCTAGACTGTTAGTCTTGAACCGTAATTCTCAGGTGTTTTGATCACCTATTTTTTCTCCCTAGGAGGCGAGTTCAAATATTCACTTCAGACCTTCCAATTTCTCACCAATAATTATATACTGTAATACAAACATAATGTAGACGAGCACAGAACCACACGGCCATCTAAGGCGCATATACCTGGTGTCATTCTGTAAGGAACATAGAATTCAGCCTACTATTCATAAATGTAAGCGTAGGTAAATTTGCTAGTTTATGTGCTCCAACAGTCAATAGATGTACGGTTTTCCTTTTCCCTGTGGTGCTGTCATTGGCGTTTGCACCACACGGAAAGATAAGAACTTGCCATGTTGATTCTTTTGCACGAAAACATGTTTCTGTCCAGCTTACTGCTCAAGCTTGCTTCCTTTGTCCGTTCTGATGATGAGACGATGCAGCAACCTCCATTGCATGTGCCTAGCCGGCCATTCTCAAAGTCACGTTCTCAGGGCATGTGAAGCTTCCAGAAATGTTTATTTATTCTTCTGACTTTCATTGGAACAAGAAGCTACTAGAAACAAGAATTCAATAGAATTAGAATTAAAATCAATTTGTTCCAGTCGTGAGGTTTTAGAGTAATGATCTTGCACAAACACATAGCCTCTTCACAAGTGGTTTGCTTGGGAGGCGGTTCATGTTTTTGTGGTTTTGAGGCCTTTTTGGTTTTGAACTTCATTCTCCCTTGCAAACTGAAACAATACCATATCAGACCACATCATATTTTTTTGTGAGAGGTGGCAAAGCAGGAATGCCAGAAACAAGAGACAGATCCACACCCGCTTCGTGGAGGTCTGCGCAGCCGAGATTTGGTGCAGGCATTCGAACGTTTTCCTTGAGATCCTGGGGATATTGTTGGTAATCTTTATTCACTTGAAGTCTGAAGACAGAAATCATCCAAATCCTGGAATTCCAACGTTTTTCAGATTTGTTCCATGCTCTTGACTTCATTTTTTCAGAGGACATTCAGGAGGAAAACACTCCAAATTTTTGGGGCAAGCCGTCAGGTCCACTTGGCTACCAGGATTCGTTAATTCCATTATGACAAGAACTAATGCATGTTTTTTTCCTAACAAGGAGATTCAACACGCTGGCTGACATGCTGACAAATCCTCACGTCTACTCGGACGTGCAACATTTTTTGTGGCTCTGGATGTGCACATTCACTAATCGTAGTCACCAACAATTTATGAAAGCCGTTGCTGCAGGAAACAATAAGGCCCCCAATGCTGCGATGCCAACAGGTCGTGTCAGTGTCTCAGATGGTCAAGATGTAGATCAATTTTGTCCGCTTGAAAGACTTCTGGGGACACTTCTTGGCATTGCTGGTAGTAGCTAGGGCATTACACTTTTGGTTGATGCCTTGTGCGTGGTCAGGTCATCCCACCTCAGTCATCGCCTCTCGCACGCGAAGCCAAGGAGGTCAAGACTGGTAAGCTGAATCAAGCTGAGCCAGCTGATCGTTTGAAGGTTTTGAATGTAAGTTTTGACGAAGTGTTCTTTCCAAAGCCGTCCGAACCCCGAAGGCTTTGCAGAAGCTGGAGAAGGCCTAAAGTTGAGAACGTTCTATGTGTCAAAGTGTATTTTTTCATGTGAATGTGCCCAGGAGAAGGAGCTTCAGAAGAAAGGTCTGAACTCATCACTCCAAAATAAGCTTCTTGGCCCAGGATAGTTCCGGATCAAATTAGAGAGAACTAGCAAAGTTCAATTTCTTTACTCCAAGGACTGATGAGCAATCAGAGGAGGTGCTGTTTGAACATGTTTTTTGAGAAAAGCACCGAATAACTTGCTTGGCCGAATGGCCTTTTTGCTGATTTCTTCTCCAGGCATGGTCTAGTCCCGGTATGCCAAAGCCTGCTGCCACAAGGCCAAAAGCGTCAGTGTCAGAACCCCGGAGTGCTGATTCTGACATTCAATTCATCCCGGGAAGTTGTAGGGTTTTGATTTTGACTTTCAGGGTGCTTTGAAGCTACTAGGAGCAAAGGGCATCGCTACTAGGAGCAAGGACGCTACTAGGGGCTCCTGGCCTTACTACTAGGAGCAAGGACGCTACTAGGAGTGCTTTGAAGCTGCACTCAGGAAGACTCCAGTGGTCGTGCCCCCACGTTTGGGGACTCCCATCCAGGCTTTATCCTTTCAAGATGGGGCCACTTGACGGAATTGCATACAGGTAAGACACAGGTCTGGTGTAAAGAAACAATCACAAAAAAGAAAGACTGTTCCACCTAAAACTCGTTTGCTCAACATGTGGCGCCAGAGGCAGTTACACCAGTCACACCGCCTTGGCATGAACGGCCGGTGGGGCACTTTGAAAAGGATGAAACAAACAACATGTGTTTGACATTAAATTGACATGGCAATGGCAGATCCTGAGTAGCGCCAATTAGTTCCCATCACTACTTTACTGCCCTTTTTCGGCAAGACGTGCGCTGCTGGCATTCTCCGCAGCTCTGGCTCCGACCCGCTTTATTTCCAAAAGCCATGGCAGTGTGGCAGGCATCCTTGTTAGGTTTTGATCAAAAACTTTGTAGGCATCAGATGAAAGCGGATGCTGTTCCTAAGAGATTTGACCTTGACGAATACAGAGAATTCCAGTAAAATGTGTGGCACATCTATTTGATTGCAGGCGCAGAACAAAAAGGGATTCAAAGGTGTCTTTAACGCCAAGTTTCTCAGCTGCGACTTGCAAGTCATATGTTGTCAGGAAAGTGAATGACACTTCACAGTGAAAAACACAGTTTTAATGCCCAAAAGTCAAAGCTGGCCTGTGAGCAAGCTTCAGCTCTTGAAACTTAGGACACCATGGCAGCCAGCCGGGAAGGACACCATGGCCACTCCTCCAAGTCCTGCATTCAAATCTCTTAGACCTTCGTCAGGACCAAAGCGCCACCACTTTTGCCGCTTCAGAGGCAAGGGAAGTGGTGGCCGGCCAGTAAATGGTGCCATCGGCACAGATTCACATTTGTGAGGCCAAAGGCGGTGCTGGTGGCAAGGCACAGAGGGAATTTGCTTTCTTTTTTTGCAAGGGCCTCCTTCCAACCTAATAGCAATGGCCTGCAACCTAATAGCATTGCCCTCCAACCTAATTCGATTAGATTTCGCTTCCACAGTGGGATTCCTTGGATTTGAAGTCATTTGTACAGGGCAAAGGCGGCATGGGCATGATGGCCGCCATGGGTAGCAAGGGCAAGGGCAAGGGTGGCCCGAAAGGTGCAATGCTCCTTGGAAAGCACAGTCGATTCTTGAACTCTGCAACTCACACAGGAATGCTCCAAGATGTGATATGATATACAAAACATAATTGTATTCTATGGTTATATTATGTCATATTCACATGTATCGTTTGACTGCATGCTTTTACTGTACCATTTCTCATGGATAAACCCCAAAGACACAACCATGCATTCGAGGATGCTTCACAGGTGTACTCTCCTTACTCTCCTTTTTTGGCACTGGATGCTGCTTACATATGGGCCACTATGTTGTTTAAAAGGATCGGAGTCAATCGGCAGACTAACATAGAACCTGGACACACTGGTCTTGTAAAGAAAAGTTGTCTTTCAGAAGTTGTCTTCCAAGGGTCTGTTTTCAGGTTCTATGGTTTGTCTGCCAGGGGTGTAAATCTGTTGGGAGCGCCTTAAGTCACAGTTGTACTTCTGCACAGTTCGACCTGGATGGATACAATTTGTTGCGCTGGAAAGTAGTTTGACACTTCCAATAAAACACGGATGTTGTCATCCATCATTCACAACCAAAACCAAGCAGTTCTGTTCGATCAGAAGATGGGAGAAAATAACAAACCAGGAACATTGAGAAGCAAGCTAAGCAAGGGAACCTTTCCCTTCGGTTGCAATGACCAAGTCTTTCGACCATGTCATACGAAACAGCTTCCGTGTTTAGGACAGGTCAAACAGCAACCGTTGTCAGACATAGGACATGGCATGCCATGTGTATAAGCTGTCCTTTCCATGTACCGAGATCTACCGGCATTCATAAAAACCTTGCAGAATCTCTACCCAGAGGTTACATTCAGCAAAACCGTTTAGTCAGGGCAATGACTCCTTCTCAAGGTTGACATTGTTTGGTGTGCTTGTCATTCTTTTTTCCGAAAACAACAAACATCGGGAAACGATGTCAAGTGTTTGCGTGTTGTTCAGTAGAGACTGCTGCAAAGGTGCTCCGGGTGATTCACTTTCGATTCGAACATTGTTGCCGGCTCCGAGGATGATGATGGCAGCCCTGATGAAAGGCTCCAATTGCCTGGTGAATATTGAGGGCGGCTTCATGACCATGGTAAAAAGGGAGAAGACGTGAGTCAAGAAACCAGAACGTCCAACTCAGGAAACCTTTTCGTCAGAGTCAGGAAATCTAGAAACCAGTTGGCAAGAATAACAAGAAGGAGAAGGAGGCTGTCTGAAAAGCAGCATCTGTACATCAACGATGCAAAGGATTAGAGAAGGAGGAGCAGGAGATTAGTTTTTGTGGCAGGCGAAAGGACATTCTCGTGCTTGGTTTAGGGCTTCACTTCTGTAGGGTTTCTACATTTGGGCTCTTAGGGCTTCATTTCCAGCGGTCGGACAGTCAGCAGTTAAACTTATGTGAGATCTAGGACAAAAGCGGCCCAGTGGAACGCCAAGCTGGGCCAAGCGTAACAAAATGCCTTCTCATTCCGAAAAAGGGTACTTTTTTTGTTCTTTTTTTTTCAAGTTTGTGTAGTGAATCAGTACCTCCCTCCATCTCCCTCCTCTGGCTCAGACGTTCAAGCTTTCAAAGCTTCCACACGCCGTCCTCAAGGTTTCCTAACTCACTCCCCTTGTCCCATAGTTTCAAACTTTCCAACTACTAGCTCCCTCCAGCCTCCGAGGTTTCTCGCTCAGGTTTCCTGACTCGTAGCCAGGGAATTTCCTCCCAAATCAGTCGCCCTCCAACGCCTTGGATCACAGGATTCTTGACTCTGCTATTCCAGTTGCCTGACTTGGTTTCCTGACTCGGACATGGTTCCTGACTCTGCTTAAGTGCTTTCCTGACACAGCTTCCTAGTTACTAGTTTCCTGGCTTTGTCATCGTCCAATGTTTTTGGAGCCAACCCTCATCTCAGTTTGGATCCGAAGGAGGCATCTGACGACCAATTCTATGCTTGAATGAACAGGGAGGGTGGACGCATAGAAGACATGGGAACACCGATTTTTCTAAAGAAGACCTGCATTCCGTACTCGGTGAACAATCCTGAATCGCTGGCGCTTGCAGAATCGGAGCGTGACAATTGGCTTAAATTGGCAGTTTGCTGTTTGAATAGAGGTTTCCTCAATTCAACTTTGCTGCGCTTCTAAATGGGTTTATTTTTGACGCTCAGTACCGAACTCCCAAGAGAGACATTCCAGCTTCGTGAAGAACTGGGGAACGGTTTGTTTTGTACCTCCTCCTCGGTCCCTTCGTGAAGACAGGCATCCAGTGTTACTGTACGAGTGGTGATCCGGGTTGTGCGACTTGAGTAGCACCTGAAACTCCAATGGCAAATGTGTCTCCAGGAAATGCAAGTCTTGAGTCTTGAGAAAAGGGTCACGTAAAGAACAACAACATGAGCCAAGACTGTTGAGTGGGGCTTGATGGGAGATAGAGCGCTTGTCCTGAGTCTCAATTAATGTTCGCACTTTGGCAGCACGTGCGGTGTGTGGGTGTTGCCAGGCATGAAAGGCAAGGGCAAGGGCAAGAATCCCAATCGTGGTAAGGGGCATACCCTTCCAAGAGTCTGCGACCAAGTGTGCTTTTTGATTTGGTCGGAATGCATAAGCTGCGCTCTTATGGGACGGAGTAGATTTGCCCTGCACCAGGAAAGAGTATCTGAGAATCCCATGATCGGAGAAGTCTTGGAGTGGAAGGGAAAGTGCCAAACTGAAGTATGCCAAATTCTTTCGCATTGCCACTGTTTCTTCGCATTGGAAGCATAAAAATCATATGTCACACCCCGAAAGCCCTTTGATCACAGTCAACCACCCAGGTATGGTTGGATCAAGCCCCAAGATCCGATTGAACACGAGAAGGCCGTCAGCTAGGGCAGCTAGAGATTTGGTTCTGACAGTGTGATAATGATATCTCAACCTACTAGCGATGGCCTCCAACCTACTAGCGATGGCCTTCAACCTCCTTCTTTGTGCTTCAAACCTTGGATGGACTGCTCCAAAAGCAGGCAAGCAGGCATGGTGGCAAACTCTTTGTGAGCCAGGCATTGTTTTTTTAAATTTTTTTTTCCATGTCTGCTGCTCTTAGCAGTTCTGTTTTCGAGATTCTGAGCTTTGATTTTCCAGTTTTGAACGTGCCAAATGCCAAAGTCTTTGAAAAGAATTTTAGTCTTGGCCTTAACTACTACCCCTTATCACAAACTAGGAATTCGTTTGGAAACGCAACAAAAGTGAGCTTTTCTTTCTTTCTTTCTTTCTTTTTTTGGCTTACTTTTTCATTTTCCATTCATTTCCAAAAAGCCTTAGATCTTGGCCCTTGGTACTTGCAAGCAATGCGAAATGCGAAGGGCGACCTGGTTGGTGTCACCGAGCTCTCGGCCGGGCGGCTGGTCCAATTTCACCTGTGTCTTGGTGAGTCAGAACACCTTTGTGATGCAGAACTCCGTTTTCTAATATCTGCTGAACGGACTGACTTGACTTTCTTTTTCCTGCAAAGAATGGTGTTCTGGTCTTCAGTCTCTTTATTAAGATTTCCAAGGGTCTGCAGGGCTTTTTGCAGTCACAAAAAGTTGCCGAGGTTCGAAGATTCCTCAGGCCTCGGGGCTGAGGAGGTCCTGCAAGCTTAAGGACGACCACGACGAATAAAGGGTCTCTTGACATGTCGTCCCCAAGCTTTGCTTGTCAAACACGTGCGTTCAGGATGTTTGCGGCTGCGTTCTGACGGCCCGGACGGTGAAATGCCAGGACGGCCATTCCGTGGCACGAGGCTGCCAGGGTGAGCTGTCTGCAAGTCACGATGCAAAAGCTGCCAAGGCTTTGCAGGCCTTCCTGACCCGCCTCTGAACCTTCCACCTCAAAGTGTTTCCAAACGCGCAGTTCTTGCCCGGGTGTCACATTGAGAAGCAGCTTTGCTTTGTGACAGAGGCTCAGCATAAAGGGGTACCATCAAAGTTTAAATTCACGAGCAAAAAGATAGGTAAAACATATTTACATGCTTGAATGTAGATTTTCGGATTATGCAAAACTACGCGGGCGGGCAGAATATTGTCTCACAAAAAGGTGCGTCGTGTATTTGCAGCTCCTCTTCATGCCACTAGACACTCAAGTGGACAGTTGGGAGATTGGCCAAGATCTAATTGACCTGAGGCGGATCCACCATCACCAGCACCAGGGGCAAAGGTTGTTCCTAAAACATCAAGGTGCCATTGGATGTTCGAACATATTGCTCTGGAAGCAGTTGCCAAGGGAGTTAAATTGGTCAGAGTATGCTGCAGTCACACTTGAATGGATGTTGACTCTCGCCCAGTGTCTCGGTGCCTCTTCTGACCCGTGCCTCAGCGGAGGACGGAGTGTAGAATCGCTGCCTGATGCTTTCTTTGGGCCGCCACAGGGCCAACCATGAAATGTATGAATGACATTTAGCACACTCAGAAAGTGCTTCACACAGAGTGAGGTTCTCAATAACCTCCTAAAAAGGGTCCTGATTGAAGGGGCCCTTACCTCGTTATTGTTTATCTCATAAATTATTGTTTGTCTTCAGGACAACATTGACAAGTGGGACGATGCAGAGGAGGTGCTGCAGCTGCTAAGGCGCTCCACCGTTTTGCTTCTGTTGCGCTAAGTCCAGGAGACCGACACCCCCATCTCTCGGCTTGGAGCTCTGAGCTCAGGTGTTGAAGTCACAGGAGCCGCAAGTATTCCGTTATCCCTAGAGTCTTGCAACGGTGCTGCAAGATGGATATTGGATTCTTGCATCAACTACCGAGTTATACAATTGGCATTTGGTCTTGGATTGAACTTCACTACTCACTACCCCCTACTAGTGTAGTAACTAGCACGCTTCGGCTTTTCTTTCTTTGTTTCTTTTCTTTTGAGTTTCCCTCAAAATCTACGATTCCAATCATCAAGCCTGAGCCCTATCCTTCGTCCGATCGGTAGTACTACCCCTTATATACTTGTTAGCTACTTAAACTTAGTACAGTCTGCCCCCCTCCCCACCCTACCCCCCACAAACAGACAAATAAACAAGCAAGCAAGCAAGCAAGCAAGCAAGCAAAGAAACACGCAAGTATATAAATGTAAAATATATCAGTACCATATATACAATTCTTCGCTTTGGGTCTTGGACTTCACTACTTCACTTTCACAGATGCCTTTTGCACAGGCTTCCAACGACTGGTGGGCTCAGGGTTGGCAGAAGGACGGTGATTTTGCAGTTTTGGCAAGTGAAGAAGAAGACGAAGACGAAGACAAAACCATAATGGGTCACAGAATGGTTCACAACAGCGTCGCAACACTGTTTGAAGGATGTCACAACACCTCCGAGAACGGAAGTACCAGGCAATGCTTGCAGTCGCTTCTTCTTAATGCACCATGAATTTGTGCTTTAAAGGACTCCAAAACTATCGCTTGCTCAGGCTGTTGGACAGCTCAAGTTTTTCGGCTGCATTAGCCGGCGCAATCTTGCGCATCATGCATCATGTTAAATTTGTTTGGTATATTTTAGGCAGCAAAACATTGAAAGATCAGGGCGTCCACCATAGGCGGTTCTGCATATTGCAGCTAATCCTCAATCAACATCAACCTCAGTTGATGTTAACCATTGTACAAGCAGGTATTACGGTGAGTCAAGCCTGCGGGGAATCATGAGGATGAACATGCTTTCATTTTAGATGATGCTGTTGATCCCTTTGTCGCCATCAAGCATCACAGACATCGCACACATTGTCGGTGATCCCTAGAAAAGGGACTTGCAGGAACCCAGACACTCTTTAGTGAATCGCCAGGTACCGATTCTTGACTTGGACGCATGTCTTCAGGCTGGGGAGTCACCCAAGGTCTACTTGTGACAGGCAAGTCATTCCAAACATTGTCCCATAGGTAAAAGGTTACCTGAGACTGTGGCCAGTGGCTGTCTTTGCCAGCCCCTCACTAACTCGGTCCTGGTTGGTTTGCACATCGCTTCGCCAGGCACCAACGGCTGGAGGCGAGTTCAGGGGAAATTCCGATCTAGGACAAGAAGCTACTAGGTGGAGGCCATCGCTACTAGTAACAAGAAGCTACTAGTAGCAAGGGAATGGTAAGAGTTTCTCATGTGAAGAAAGGAATGAGGACGAATGAATGTGAGTACAAACTGACCGAAAGTCCCATGTCCGTTAGGGAACCAGCTGCTTGGCTTTTTTTGTTCCTGTCCGGGACCTGGCTGGGAGGAATCTCTCGTGAGCCGGGCTCAAGAGTAATCCTTTTCTGCCAGGACATGATGAGGATGAGGCACAGGATGATGGGCACTTGGAGAATCGAAGTGGGAAGTTCGATGACACCCAGTCTATCTACAGGAGGATCCTGTGAAGATATGATGGGCAGGTCACCCAGCGTTGTAATGAACCAAACAATAGTCCTGTGGCCGTAATTCTAGTCACGTAGTCCCTTCAGCCAAATGTGACTATTTAATCTATTGCTTACGAGGGAGACCTTCTGAATTCTCAACACGCTTATATATATATATACACATGAAACGATGCAAAACCCTGTGAGCAGACAAAGATGTGGGGTTCCAATTCTGTAGCCTTCGAACATGTTTGACATGTGGAGATGTTCGCTCTTGAAATACCATATCCACTGGTGAACTCGGGCCGTTTGGGATCTTGGCCGTTCTGAAACTCTGCTCAGCAATCGAAACCCGGGAACAGGTGCCAATGGAGATGCCGACAGAGGTGGCTTCACCCAAGGCTTCAGCCTTCTCAAAGCCACGGCTTGAGGCGCGAAGTGTGTGAAGCTCGGTAATGAGATCAGCAGAAATGTGGCAGACAAATCACCTGGCACCCTGCTGTTGGGGAGTTTGGTGTTTTGAGGCAAAACTGCGGCTTCCTCCATTGAACACACCGCATGCTAGTCATAGGCTTCATGAGGTAGTAGTTGGTAGCAGGTTCATGGCCAGGTAAGGTAGACAAGAAGTCCGCATTTCCGAACTCATGCTGTTTTCTATGTGATCCTTCAGCAGAGAGTGGAATCGTTCAAAGAAATGGATTGGGTTGGGGCTCGACAATCCAACAGAAACGTAGGTCCAAAGGTTTGGAACTCAGTGGACGAAGAGCAATCAAGACCCGGGTGCACGATGACATGAGGCTAAACAAGTCGCACAGGGTGTTATAAAAGTGACTCGTACAGGCGCCTACAGCGGAGGTTGCCACAGCTGAAGGCAGGGGACTGGGTGACCTGACGGTGCGGAGCAGCATGACCTAATTGCGCTTGCTCCTAGTAGCGATGGTCTCCAGTTAACACATCTATGCGGCTTTCGTGGAGAATCGATAAGTGAAGATTTGTTCAAGAAAGGTATGTCTAGGATTTTTGGAATTTCCAGTGTCAGATATCCAGCATTAGGAGTACTAAAACTCAGCCACAGCCCGGTTGTAACTGCGGCTGACCATCAACAGCCGGTTACAGTCCATAAAGGCTTTTGAACCACCTGTCACTAGCTCCTGGTGGGGGTGAACCGCTCGATCACATACGGTCAGACCAAAAGCTGAACCGTTGGCTGCATCCATGCAGATGAACTCCAACCATCTTCTTCATGTTCTTCTCGGTGTATATAGCTGTAAACTCATACGGCCACAGGAAAGTGATCATAGGAGACAGACAATCTCTTTCAATGGCTGAATCTAAGTCTTTGCCTTACCACTGAATATCACTGGCACTCAAAGTTGCCTTTCCTCTTCCATTTCCTCTGTTCAGCGACTCTGAGCTTAGAATCCAACTCTCTCTCTCTCTCTCTCTTCTGTACATAGGTTTGGTTTCGGAATAGAAACTTGTCTGTGCAGGAAGCCAAACCAAACACTCCTGGAATCATAGCTCAACTGCATTTGAGGCAGAGAAAGCAATGGACGGTGTGTATCTCGGGGTGTGTTAGTGCATGGCATTATTTGCTGGAATCAGTTCGTGCTCCTCCAACTTTGACTTCCTGCATGATTCCTTCTGGCGCGTTGACTGAACATTGCTGTACAACCAAAATCATCAAAGCTGTAGCACCTTGAAACCGATTTTGGCTTTGGAGGATATCTTGGGTCAGCTCCAGGTGGATTTCTTCGGTCCTCAAACACCACGGTGGCACCTGAGACGGGCAATCTCTAAGAAGTCGACCTCCAAAAGGGAACTGCTCGTGGGAATTTGTTGAACTTCGTCATGTGAGGCACTGAAGTCGGAGCACCTGAGGGGCCTGAGGGGATGGTTGGACTGTGCGAGCTTCAAGTTATGAGGGTGATTGCTGCAGGGTTGGACCAGTATCGTTGAATCCACATGTATATATATATATATATATAATATTTCAGTCATCCAAAATTCCAAGATCAGTTGTGGCGAAGCACTTGCTTGCATGTAGTTTCACACACTGGTGAGTCTGTGGGTGAGGTAGCTTAGATGCAACATAAAGTGTGGGGTTGGCAGATCACCTGCAGTCTGTGGATTGGAAAGATTGACAGAGGAGATGTTCCTAGACCCTTGAGCCTTTTGCCTGACCATGTGCCAGGAAGCGGCCAATTTGATATCCTCTCAAAAGACTCACATTACATGGCCCCAAGTGACCAGTGCATACTGCAACAAGGGAATGGTGTGGACCAGCAAAAAGGACTACCATGCGACACTTCACCGCAGGGTGATTGTTCAAGATGATGCCCCTTTCGACTTGGTGCAGGGGCTATGTTCCTATCCCTTTCAAGTACCAATGGCCTCCCCCGCAGCAAGAAACTAGGTTTGTTGGAGCTCTACTTGTAGGCCTTTATTGGATGTTCGCACTCTGCGGCACAAGTGCGAAGGCATTGGCTTGGAAGGCTTTTTGAAGCTGGGTACAATCGGAGATCTGACTGAACAACAGAGTCCAGCGACCCCTTAAAAATAGAAACAAATACCTCTGAGCACTATGCACCTCCGAACCAC